GAGAGAGAGAGAGAGAGAGAGAGAGAGAGATAATAATTTATTAGCAAAATATTATAATAATTATTTACGGTTAGCTCACAAAGTAAAAATTTTTTCAATAAGAACATTTTTTTACCAAAAAAAAGAAAACAATCAAAATTAATAGATAAAGATAGTGAAAAAATATTTTTATTATGGTTATATTGTTTTTCAATAAAATCGTCTTCAACAGACATAATATCTTTTCGTTTTGCAAATGACCTGAAAAAGCATCTTTTAGTCACTTTTTAATATTTTATATCCTTTGTAATATATGTAAACGTATCTAGATATTATTATTAATAATAAATAGAAAATTAACAATATTCAATTAAAAGTCGGATAAAAAAAAGTGCTTTTAGATTTTTGAAAATAGTTGATCTTGTCGACTTACAATTGACATTTAAAATTGATAAAAGACAATTCTAAAATGTCGACTAAATATCGATTTTACAAGTTGACTTTAAGTTGACTGAAAAAAGTCGACTATTAGTCATCGAACTGTGTGAGTCACGCTGTGTGAGTTGTCTTTAATAGTATTTCATGATCGGTGTTTTCAGTTGGGGGATTCTCTAAACTTAAACGTTTTATCGATAATTATCGCAATCATTAACTAGCGATAGCCAATGAGTGCCGCGCTTTCTTCAGGATTGATCTGTCATTATAGCTATCTCTAGTTAACGATAGCGACAATCATCGATAAGATGTTAAGAGAATTACAGACATGCATTTTTCTTATTTTGTTGAATCAACCAAAAGGATTGGTAATGTCATCGTTTTCCATTTATCCTCCGATCTATCAAGCCCACTTAATACAATAGTTTATATACAATAGTACAAAAATTTATACTTATTGGTATTTATAGTAGATCAGATCTTATATTCAAAACTGTCTTATAAGTACAGTCTTAAGAAGTTATGAACCAATCAAAGGACCGTATTAGCGTTTTAAGACATTACTTAAGACAGTCTTGAAATAAGAATGAATACCGCCCATTATCTGATCCGGTCGTCGCTAATAATAACTGCATTCAGCAGAAAAGGCAGTTTTGCAACTAGTGCTAATAATCAAACTAGAACGAAATTTTCTTATTGAATATCGTATCATCCGTATGTCGAATGTCGTATGCGACGTACGCAATCATTTCGGTCGCCAGGAAACGAAAATAGAAATTAGACTCTTCGGCATGCGTTTGTTTTTCGCGCGTCGCCTCGTGCAATGCATGCTGGTCCGATAGAAACTCCTGATAGAAGACCCTGCGAACCGACCAATCACGAGCCGGCATAACGCGGTGGCGACTGGCCGTACTCTCAGTCAGGAGCTCGAGTCGCAAAGTTGTCGTTCCTCTCTCTTTTGGTCCCTGTGAGCCAGCGAGCCCAAAATTTTACCGAGTGTTACCGAAGAAACAGCAGGAGAGGAAACGGCCGATCGCCAATTCGCCCGTCGCAAGATCGTTCGGGCCAAATCTCTTGTCATACGCGTATACCGTCGTATCGAGAAATATCGTGCGCGCGCGATTATCACTTAAAATAAACGGCATTCGCCGGATTCGCGTACGGCCACACTCGCTCACACCGGATCGGAGAGGAGGGCGAGCCTGTTGTATCGTGTGTGATCATCCACTGGAGACGGTGTCAACGAGAAAAGGTAGAGAGAAAATAAACGAAATGTTGTTCGTGTGAGAGAAGGGAAGTAAGGATAGAGAAAACATTGACAATTTATCAAAAATGCATGCTCGTCCTCTTGCCCTCCCCCGCGAATCTAAAGTCACGAAACTTGTCGAGACTGGATCGTCCGGCCAGATCCGTCCGGTTGCGCGCGTTTTCTTATGTCATATGTGAAGATTGTCGCCGGGTGGCGGGATGCTGCTCGACGATGACGACGTCGGCGCCAGGACGAGCATCGTCGCGACCCACTTTCACAGGCTTTGCACCTCGCGTGCCAGCCGAATTGCCATTTCTTTATTGTCGTTGGTATCGACAAAACACACTGTCCTCCCGCGCCTTTCGCACTCCCTCCTCCTTTAGTCTCTCTTCTATCTTTCACCCTCTAAATGCTCGCTCTATCGGTACCTGTGTAACTTCGTCTTTTTCCTCTCTCTCCTTCTTTCTCTATTTGTGCATTGCATCCATGTCGCGTGAGCGAGAATTCTCTCTCTCTCTCTCTCTCTTCGCCTGCGCTATCTATTTTTCTCTTCTTCCTTTATCTTCCTGTCTTTGTTCTATCTGTGTTACTCCGAACACTCGCCTAACACTCGCCTTCGTATTATCATGCCGGCGGTAGACATGTACGCTACTGTCAAAGTCGTGCGCTTCCCGCGGCCCAGGTTGAGCCTCCCAATATATATATATAACGATACATCCGGTAGAGTTGTCGAACAGCAGCCTCCGATTCGCGCGATTCACCCTTGTGGCATTTTACTTTGAGCACAAAACGCCGATAATGTCGCTTATAAATAAATCGTTTATTTTGAAAGTGATGTGAATCTAAAGCAGTGGTGAACCATCACTGTTGCAATCGCGGACTCATTTGAATTTATTCCTTTCGGATTCACGCTGCTCACAAAGTTTTTCATCCCGAATTGATATACATACATATGTCTGCAGATATATCTTTTGGTATATTTGCACTTTTGCCAAAACACATTGAGGTGTCTTTCTCAGTGTTTACATTAGAAAAAGGTGTTTCATGTATGATAATAGCGTCACAGTATGACAATGCTATATCTTTATGTTCTAGGACAGACAAAATGTCGGACCGAAAAGCAGTAATCAAAAATGCTGATATGTCGGAGGAGATGCAACAAGATGCTGTTGACTGTGCCACTCAAGCTCTCGAAAAATATAACATTGAAAAGGTATATGCTCATCAAACTTTTATGTATACAGATATAGATAACACACTGTAAACATCACACTTGTATTGTACAAAGAATGGAAAATTTAAGACACATGTAATTGAAGTAGATATATTTGCCAATAGATTTACTTTTAATTTTTATCTATTCAGTAAGAATCTTAATACATTTTATAAGCACGAATTTAATTAATTTATTATAAAAATTGAATAATTCATTAACGTCTTTGCATTAAGCAAGTTAACAACTTTTATTAGGAATAGGAATAAATAATGTTTTATGAATAAAGAAGTACAATTATACATAAAGTTCTTATAATTTCAAAGAAGCTAAAGAATTCAATAAGTATTATAAAATGATATTTGAAATACATGACTTATTAATTTCATGGGACATGATTTATTAATTTCTTAATAAACCTGGGAGATTGATATATATAATATATTTATGATATATATAATATATTTAAAGTTGTAATATGTAAATGCAGTTTACTAAAATTATGTTAAAGGTCGATATTTGTTTTCTGAAAAATTTCTGTTATATAAATTCTCAAGTTACACAGGATGAGATTGTTAAATCAATAACACTATTGATTTTACCATTAATATCTATTGGTTTTGGCTTTCAGGACATTGCAGCATTTATCAAGAAAGAATTCGATAAAAAGTACAACCCAACGTGGCATTGCATTGTAGGACGTAATTTTGGTAGCTATGTGACGCACGAAACAAGACATTTTATCTATTTCTACCTTGGTCAGGTAGCCATTCTCCTCTTTAAGAGCGGGTAAACTTGTTTTGCTATCCTCCTAAACATCCTTTTTCCTTCCTCTTCCTCCCTTGCTCACTATGCAAAATACATACATTTAAAATCACCGCCATGTGTAAAAGAGACTTCATTACTCATTATGTACACATTGAAAAATTTATTTTAAAAAAACAACGCATGTTTCGGATAAGCAAATGAAGATAAATATCAATGTTTCTTGATATATTGTTTGTCGTTACATAAGTAAAAAGATAATCCGAAAAAATTTTTGAGAAGACACAGCCGAAGGGTAGGGAGATAAACTAAGGGAAAAAAAGAAGAAAAGAATGACATACAACTTTACATGTTAAAATGTATTTTGTATGCCAAGAAGTTTGTTGTGTTCTTGTTTTATATTATTAGGTAAATATGCAGAATATGGTTAAATTCAGTACTGGCGATTTTAAATTAGTAAATTTTAGCGTAAAATTGTTTAACGTATAGTGTTCAAGCAACACTAAATGGATTACATTTTTCGCGTAGAATAGGTTCATGCAGGACTCGGTATGTATTTGAAATCTTTTTATTTAACACTATTTGCAATACAAGCGTATTTTGTATTTGAAATCGGAAGTTTGAAAGCTTTTTATATTTCGAATAATTTTATAATTCAAATAATAAGGTTGATTGTCAGTGTTAGTATTTGAAATACAAAATTCTTTCAATCTTTTGTTATTAATGAAATATCTGAAATACAAAATATTTTCATGTACTCTGAACAAACACAAAATACAAAATATATTTGTGTTGCCAATATTGTTTTTCAAATAAAAATATTTCAAATACATGCCCAGCCCTGAGTTCATGTACCTTACTTGAATCTATACAGGGTGTCTACAAAGTCTGTCCGTACCCCCTACGTTTCAGAAACTGTTTCAAATTATGAAAAACCGGACATACATGGTATCTGTTAAGTAATCCTGTTAAGTAATCGCCAATAATGAATGTAAACCCGAATGAGATTGATTGCCCCTGTAATTGTTATTTTATATTAATTGGTAACCACTGTCTCTTACGTACTGTATATTGATTAACTTGATTTTGTATTTGCTATACAACTGCGACTGATATCTTTTGTTACATTAAGAATTCTCAAAATAATTGAACGGAAAAGGAAAAAAAGGAGCTCAATCTCTCTTTCGACGTGCGATAATCATCGTACACATACTCTATTGATTGAACTTTATTTCGATCAGATATAAAACTAACATGCTATTGAATAACAATATCTGACTCGTTCATTGCTACCTTCACAATTTTTATATTGTGCACAGATTATAACATAAAAAAGGGGGGGGGAGACATTTTATCTCGAGGCGATGTATACTTAGAAAAATATTCATTTCTCCAGAGAAAAAATTATCACCTTCTATCCGTATTAAATTCTTTTATGTAATATTCAACACTCCATATTATAGAGTACTTATATATATATATAAATATATATATATAATATAGATTATACATATGATATATTATTTATACATAGAGTGCAATCTTCAAACATTTTTTCATGCAGTATTTGATTATCGTAAATGTTGCTACATTGTTCAAATTTTAGACTGACTATTAAATAATATCAAACTATCATGCATGATCCTTTTTTTTATAGAAGTTCGCAATGCCACTTTTATAAGCAGCGAATATATAGCAGAATGTTCAAAAGTATCACGATAAAAAATATCGAGTTATACTTTGAAGATCAACTTGTCCTTGAGAACATCTGAAAATATTCAACATGTTATTACGTTACTTTCCTTTTATTTATTTATTGTACATATATTCCAGCAGGTTTATTAACTCATAAATATTGCATATATATTATTAGAGTAACACAGAATAAGCTGTATCTTTACGGTGTTATATGATGTACGTTATGCTTTCGCCGTACTTGCTACATGAGATCGGTTCAAGAAATATATCGCTAATAGGTTCGAATTAATCATCGGTAAAAGCCAATTGTACTTTGTATACACATTAAGTAAAGAACCTGTTACGCTGTTAGGCGGCGGTTGTCATATTCATTTGATTTGCCAAAATCAAAATCAAGATCTACTTCCGGAACGCTTTTTTAAAACATAAATAGAATACAAAGTATTAAATTATTTTTCTTACATCCGTGAAACATGGGTTAATAAATGAAAAAAATAAATGTGGCTATGGCAAAATCATTTTGGTTCTTTTGGAATCGAGCTTTCGAGGGTAAGAATCGCTCTGTGCACCTCCGCCGATTTCACGATCGAGTCTACATGCAGAAGATGCGGTAAAAGCAGATGAATATTATTGTGCTTAACAATAAAAATCAGTTCCACCCATGAAATGATGTATTTTTCTTTTCAGCGAGGCGCAATGTATAAAATAGAGAGCGAAGTTATTCTACATAAGAGCGGTATTAAATATCACAAGGTCGAATTTTCCCTAAAATACTATCAGAGGGAAAAACGAATTGCGATCGTAACACGCGCGCGTTCATAATATACATATACATATACACACATTTGCAGCCTACGCACGCGATGCCAAGGAACATCAATAATGTGTTCTCGATAAAATTCAACCTTGTGACTCACAATGTGAAATGGCTACTAGAGGACTACCTGTTGTGCTTTGCATAATTTGCGTAACTTCGTTAGACTCGTGTATCTCATTTCCGCCCCTAATGACTATAAATACCTGTGCTTCTACACACGTACAGATATCTCTCTCTCTCTCTCTCTCTCTATATATATATATA